GCACAACAATGGATTGTGATCGATATAGATTTTAATTCATCTATACTCAACCAACTACTCAACCTGCTTCAACCAACGGTAACTCGGAAGTACTTACGTATCAAGCTAATACTGACACAGACGGATAAGTTAAAGTTTGATTGGAATTCTTTGAGTCATTCATCAGGAGCTATAGCTAGGAAGTCATGTGAGATAAAGCGCGGGAACCTAAGCAGTCAGTCTTTAACTCTTGTGAGGGACACATTCTCACAACTAGACCACCCAGCTGCATCCATGATGGTATTAATGGATGTGTTAACTGATTTGTAGCAGAGGTGGCGGCGAAAAGAGTTATCAGAGTTCCTCATACCACTGACAGTAACGGTAAACTTTTAGACACCGAGAGAAGAGATTCTAGTTTATCCTCAATATAACCGTCTTTAGCTTGTTCCGTTTTCCACCTTACATGATGCTTTAAAAGCTGATCGCTAACGAGAACATTGGCCAGGAAATTAAGCCATTCCCACCAAAGCGTTCCGAATAAATGTATATCTGGCGCGAAGGGAATTCTTATAAAAAATATATCATTCAATACATCTCCCCTGTATATAAACCATATTTATGATTGACAGTGGTGACAAAGGAACGGAAAGTTACTTGAGGTTCGAATAAATTAACACTCTAGGGGTGCGTTCCTTTGAGATGATCCGGATCAGGATCAGAGGAAGATCAAATGAACCGATGAATCCATTCTGGGTAAGGATTGATCGGTTCATTTGATCTGCCATGATCAGTGATCAAAGGAACGCACCCTAGGTGTGTGAACTAATTTCTATTTTGGTGAGCGCTTGACCGCAAAAAGTGTTAATCACCATGAAATAAGGCTCCTGGTGTGAGGCGGGATGTTTCTGGAAAGTTTTTGCACTCATTCTTTTAACTAATGTCTAGAGCAGGAACAACTGGCTTAGCGGCTTTTAACTACCTCACCATAATCGCAAAACAGCTGCCACGAAACCCCTTTTATTCTCCATGTTCCTTTAGACAGTATTATTGAGTCGTTTATTGCTGTTGGTGGAGTCTTGCTTTGGGTGAGCTCTGTTTCCTAGGATACCCAATAATGACAATTCCCTGTAATTTGGGATAAATTTTGGCCACAAGAATGGCCTTTTATTTCATTTAAGCATAACAAGTTAGGAAAATCCGGATACACAAGAAGATTATCCCAGCAAAGGTTAGGGTACATCCGCCAAACGGGAGAGGTCTTGTGCCTCGCTTTCATGTCATAAAAACATAATAATTTTCCGGATGGCAGGAACGCCCCCTACCCAGTAGCTGGAGAAATGACATCAATCAGTCACATTAAGCATAAAGCCATTTTCTTGGTCGTTGTTATAAATCGAAAATGTTTTCATATTCATTGTATTTTTATATGAAAGGCTTTTTTCACTCAAACTTATTGCATTGGGTACGTGGAGGAGAGGATACACCGTAACGCATTTCCTCTTGGTATGTGATTATCTGTAAGGCCACCTCGCCACCGTGTGTCTGGTGGCTGTCTGCCATCTCATATCCAAGGCACGTTTGTAAATTATTTGGTTAGTGGCCCGAACACTGACGAACTGTCTCTTCTTTCTTGTAAACTTTCCGTGTTGCTATAACCCACGTAAAGACTCCCCTCAGCCAACTCGTGATCTCTTCAACTGGAAATTTTCTTGATTCCCTCCATTAGAAATGCTAATTAATAGTTGATCCTCAGCTACTCTTTGCGCATTTGCGTTGTAATGCACATGATCTAGTGTGCCATTAAGATGCGAAGCGGTCATTGGATACACGTCCAACACAGGAATGCCAGCTTTGCACATGGCGTTAGTGGCGTATTTATGAAACAACTCCAGTCTCTGATGATAAAAAAAATCACACACACATCACACAACGACAATTACAACTACTTTAATAATAAAGATGAAAATAACCAAAGAAATAACGACAGCTATTAATTTAAAAATTCGTTCAAAATATTTCTTCGTTTCTGATTGCCTTTAATTTCCCGGCTGATTCTTTTATAACTGCGGCATACCATTCTCAGTCTCATCCTAAAGTTCGCTTCATAGTATTAAAAGTAGCTATCAACAATGAAAGCATCGTAAAAAAAGGTATTTAAATTTCTAAACACTAAAACAAAAATAGAAAAGTGAAGTTTTTATGGAAGGTATAACGTTATAATAAGCAATTATCAAGTGAGGATATTATACACTAAACGTTAGATCCCAAGGAAAACAGTTTGTCCTATTTTCCCTAGGGGAAACAAAACTAATTGGGTTCAAGAAGGAACCTGAAATTGTTTTGTTATATTAATTTTCTAACACTAACCCAAACCCTAACCCATAACCCTAACCCAAACCCTAACCCTAACTTCTAACCCTAAACATAACCCTAACCCTAACCCTAACCCTAACCCTAACCCTAACCCTAACCCTAACACTAACCCGAACCCTAACCCTTAACCCTAACCCTAACCCTAACCCCAACCCTCTAACCCTAACGCTAACCTCTAACCCTAATTTCTAACCCTAACCTCTTACCCCAACGCTAACCCTAACCCTAACTCTAACCTCTAACCCTAATCCTAACCCTAACTTCTTAACCTAACCCCTAACCCTAACCCTAACCTCTAACCCTAACTCTCTTACCTAACCCTCGGTTTAGGGTTAGGGTTAGGGCTAGGTTAGGGTTAGCGTTAGGGTTAGGGTTAGGGTTAAGGGGTTAGAGGTAAAATTTAGATGTTAGGTTAGGGTTAGGGTCGTGGTGAGGGGTTAGGGTTAGAGTTAGGGTTAGAGGTTAGGGTTAGGGTTAGGGTTAGAATTATGGTTAGGGGTAGGAATAGGTTTAGGGTTAGGTTAGGGTTAGAGGTTAGGGTTAGGGTTAGGGTTAGGGTTAGGGTTAAAGGTTAGGGTTAGGGTTTAGGGTTAGGGTTAGGGGTTAGAGTTAGGGTTAGGGGGAAGTTAGGGTTAGGGTTAGGGTAGGGTTGGAGGTTAGGGTTAGGGTTAGGGTTAGGGTTAGAGGTTAGGGTTAGGGTTAGGGTTAGGGTTAGGGTGAGAGGTTAGGGTTAGAGGTTAGGGTTAGGGTTAGGGTTAGAGGTTAGGGTTAGGATTAGGGTTAGGGGTAGGGTTAGTGTTAGAAATTAGAGTTAGAAGTTAGGGTTAGGGTTAGGGTTAGAGGTTAGGGTTAGGATTAGGGTAAGGTGTAGGGTTAGGGCTAGGTTAGGGTTAGGGTTAGGGTTTAGGGCTTAGGTTTAGGGTTAGGGTTAGGGTTAGGGTTAGGGTTTGAGGTTAGGGTTAGGGTTAGGGTTAGAGGTTAGGGTTAGAGGTTAGGGTGAGGGTTAGGGTTAGAGGTAAGGGTTAGAATTAGGGTTAGGGTTAGGGTTAGGGTAAGGTTTAGGGTTAGGGCTAGGTTAGGGTTAGAGTTAGGGTGTGGGTTAGAGGTTAGGGTTAGGATTAGGGTTAGGGTTAGGGTTAGGGTTAGGGTTAGGGTTAGGGTTAGAGGTTAAATTTAGATGTTAGGTTAGGGTTAGCGTCGGGGTTAGCAGTTAGGGTTAGAGTTAGGGTTAGAGGTTAGGGTTAGGGTTAGAAGTTAGGGTTAAGGGTTAGGGTTAGAGTTTAGGATAGGCTTTGAGGTTAGGGTTAGAGGTTAGGGTTAGGGTTAGGGTTGAGGGCTAGGGGTTAGGGCTAGGGGTTAGGTTAGGGTTAGGTTTAGGGTTAGGTTTTAGGGTTAGAGGTAGGGTTAGGGTTAGGGGTTAGGGTTAGGGGAACCTAAGTAGTCAGTGTTTAAATCTGGTGAGGGGACACATTCTCACAACTAGACCACTCAGCTGCATCCATGATGGTATTAATGAATGTGTTAGCTGATTTGCAGCAGAGGTGGCGGCGAAAAGAGTTATCAGAGTTACTTATTCCACTGACAGTAAGGGAAACTTTTAGACACCAAGAGAAGAGATTCTAGTTTATCCTTAATATAACCGTCTTTGCTTGATCCGTTTTTCACCTTACATGATGCTTAAAAAGCTGATCTCTAAAGAGAAAATTTATTGGCCAGGAAATTAAGCCATTCCCATTAAAGCGTTCCGAATAAATGTATATCTGGCGCGAAGGGAATTCTTACAAAAATTATATCATTCAATACATCTCCCCTGTATATAAATGATATTTATGATGAACAGTGGTGACAAAGGAACGGAAAGTTACTTGAGGTTTGAATAAATTAACACTCTAGGGGTGCGTTCCTTTGAGATGATCCGGATCAGGATCAGAGGAAGATCAAATGAACCGATGAATCCACTCTTGGTAAGGATTGATCGGTTCATTTGATCTGCCATGATCAGAGTGATCAAAGGAACGCACCCTAGGTGTGTGAACTAATTACTATTTTGGTGAGCGCTTGACCACAATAAGTGTTAATTACCATAGAAATAAGGCTCCTGGTGTGAGGCGGGATGTTTCTGGAAAGTTTTTGCACTCATTCTTTTAACTAATGTCTAGAGCAGGAACAACTGGCTTAGCGGCTTTTAACTACATCACCATAATCGCAAAACAGCTGCCACGAAACCCCTTTTATTCTCCATGTTCCTTAAGATAGTATTATTGAGTCGGTTATTGCTGTTGGTGGAGTCTTGCTTTGGGTGAGCTCTGTTTGCTGGGATATCCAATAATGACAATTCCCTGTAATTTGGGATAAATTTGGGCACAAGAATGGCCGTTTATTTCATTTAAGCATACCAAGCTAGGAAAATCCGGATACACAAAAAGGTTATCCCAGCAAAAATTAGGGTACATCCGCCAAACGGGAGAGGTCTTGTTTCTCGCTTTCATGTCATAAAAACATAATAATTTTCCGGATGGCAGGAACGCCCCCTACCTAGTAGCTGGAGAAATGACATCAATCAGTCACATTAAACATAAAACCATTTTTTTGGTGGTTGTTATAAATCGAAAATGTTTTCATATCTGTTGTATTTTTATATGAAAGGCCTTTTTCACTCAAGCTTATTGCATTGGGTACGTGGAGGGGAGGATACACCGTAACGCATTTCCTCTTGGTATGTGATTATCTTTAAAGCCACCTCGCCACTATGTGTCTGGTGGCTGTCTGCCGTCTCATATCCAAAGCACGTTTGTAAATTATTTGGTTAGTGGCTCGAACACTGACGAAATGTCTCTTTTTTCTTGTAAACTTTCCGTATTGCTATAACCCATGTGAAGACTCCCCGTCAGCCAACTCGTGATCTCTTCAACTGGAAGTTTTCTTCATTTCCTCCATCATAAATGCTAACAGTTGATCCTCAGCTGCTCTCTGCGCATTTGCATTGTAATGCACATGATCTAGTGTGCCATTAGGATACGAAGCGGTCATTGGATACACGTCCAATACAGGAATGCCAGCTTTGCACATGGCGTTAGTCGCGTATTTATGAAACAACTCCAGTCTCTGATGATTAAAAAAAATCACACAAACATCACACAACGACAATTACAACTACTTTAATGACTAGGGTATCTAAAAGATACTAATGCTGCGGCACATTCTGTTGATACTGGCATTAGTTAGGCAGTGAGACTTAAAAGAATCAAAAATGACATTGAATGTCCTATTTACATGTTGGAAAGTACTAGAATAATTACTATCAGTCTATAGAAAGAACTCGTGGGAACGTTGTTTAGAAAATGATCAAGTGGTTATTAACTCTGGTTTTCCCACAGTAAATTGTAGGAAATAATAGAAATTCAGATCGTTTATCCATATATTTAATATACGGTGCACGATATTTTCTCTGGAAACACAATACTTTTCTTGCTGTTTGTTGCATTTTATTAAGTAACAGTTATTTAACTATATATTTGTAGAAAACAACACCACAAAAAACGGAAAAAAAAAAGAAAGAAGGAATAAATAATTCAGTGAGACTCGAACCCGGCACCTCTGACTTGACGCGACTACACCTAACCACTGCACCACATAGACTGATTACGTAGTGTGTAAGAAAAGTCTTTCATTTTATTCCTTTTCGATGAAACTTCCGCCGGCAAGAATATCGCCAGCCGCGTTAACCGAGCTATTAACAGTGAAAAAACAATGTAAACGCATATTCCATGGCAATAAATGAATGAAAGAACATAATTATGCTTTTCAAAACGCCGATACGCGTCCTCGTCTGCAAAGTAGGACACAAAACATATGTTTTGTTATCTCGATTTCCGCTGTTATTTTGAAGCGAATGGTCAAAATCACTTCCATTTTCGGCTCATACAGTTTCTTAAGAATAGCATTGCATGACATTTTCTCACTTTCACATCACCTTCTAGCAAGCTGGAATTTGTGTTGCGGAGTCCAAGAGCGAATGCTCATCTTCTCGTCAGGTTTAACACCTGGACGAGTCAAAAAGGCTCTTGAATTAAAATCCAATCCCCAAGTTAACCATCATACTCATCTGAAAGACTCCTGCGTGTCTTAAAATTTGGTAAGACCTCTAACCGCGCTGTAGAAAATTTACCACAAAGTCTGAGCAGCGAACGATGCACTCAACTTACCCGTGTTTTTATTTGAGTTGTTCGTGGCGCAATGCACTCTGGTTAAATGCAATGCATTGTGGTAAAAAGTGTGGTTAAATGCAATGCATTGTGGTAAAAAGTGATGAATTCGAGAATTCGTCGCCCCTTATATATTTCTTTTAAATCCTGATTATGTTGCTGCTCGCTCCCTTCGGTCGCTCCGCAGCAATAAAGATGACAATAACAAGAGAAATAAGGACAGCTATTAATTTAATAATTAATTACTATTCGTTCAAAATATTTCTTCGTTTTTGACTGCCTTTAATTTCCTGGCTGATTCTTTTATAACTGCGGTATACCATTCTCAGTCTCATTCAATAGTTCGGTTCATAGTATTGACAGTGGCTATAAATAATGAGAGCATCGTAAAAAAAGGTATTTAAAGTTTTTAACACTAAAACACACATAGGAAAGTGCAGTTTTTATGCAAGGTATAACGTTATAATAAGCATTTATTAAGTGAGGATGTTATACACTCTACGTTAGATCCCAAAGAAAACAGTTTTATTTTTCCTTGGGAAAACAAAACTAATTGGGTTCCCGAAGGAACCTGACATTTAGTGTTTTGTTATATTAATTTTCTAGACTTTCACTTCAACAGCAACAAAAGAATAACCGGAGCGAACCAAAACAGTCGACTCGGTAGTTATAACAACACAAATTTAATTCTCAAAACTACTGAATGGATGATTTACAAAGTACTTTCCTTATATTATCTGCATCTTTTTCCTCCACTAGCTACTGTTTCCCTATCTGGGATAACTTTAAAAATCGTTCCTTTTTGCTTGGACCTTCGTGTTTGTGTTGTTGTGTTCATTCACGAAAAAGAAAACTGGCAGTGGTTTTCCCACCTTCTGTCACGCCATTCCACCGTGCTTAAATCACGTGCTGTAATGTATTCGGAGCGCGGTACATTTCTTAATGTATCACGATCGGGTTACATTTGATTTCAGTCAAGGCCACGTAACCAAGAATCAACCAATGACAGTCCCTGTTTAGTTGAGGGAAAGTCTAGGAATATAACAAGAAGAATTATGCAGTATCCACCAAGGCCAAAGAATTAGCCGCGGGGGATATTTGAGCCAATCAGAAACGGTGAAATATTTTGAATGAATAATACCTGCTGTTATACCTGATGTGTATGGAATCTCCAATGAGTCTTATTCTTCGGAAGTTCTGCAAACATTAAATGAGTCTTTTCTTTTTCAATGGATGTTGTTGTTTTCCATATAACAATGGGTTTATTATTGTGTTGAACCTCAACCTTTCTCCTTAACAGTGTTATCACGCTATCCACGAGGTCTCTGTAAGTTGTGAAATTAAGTGATATTGGATAATGAACGCCAAGGTTAAATAAGAACACACTGTTTTGTCTTCTCATGTCGGGTGAATCAAGAATGTTCGTCAAATATTGAAGGATAACTGTTTTGTTGAAATCGTTTGGACGAAACTTTGACTTGGCCTCTTCTACACTGGTAAGCTGAAAAAATGTAGAAATATACAAGATTACGATATAAAATTTAGAAAAAAAATTGGTTCATCACTATCTCCCTTTCAGCAGATTCTCCCGAAACGTAAAGATCATTTGAGTCTATGTGAAGAAAAGTGTTCAAAACCATTTTTTTTCCTTACTTACTGCAAACCAGACATCATTAAACGGTCGTGGCCCCATCGAGGAATTTTTATCCAGTGACGTTATTACCTCTATTAAACCGCCACTTTGTTTAGGGATACCAGGTAAATTGTACATGTACTTTTCTTGTCACAATCATTTTTTCTTTCTTGATTTTATTCTTCGGTTGGTGAAACTTGCATGAAACAGTCAACCTGTGTTACATGGTCTGAAGGCCACAACCCAAGAGTTTAAACCTTCTAGCTCTCAGGAACGCAAGCAATACAATTGGTTGATCAGCCGTTATTTGCGCTGTTAACAAATTATCGACGATGCCGTAAATGATCTAATGGACGCCGAGGAAGTCTATTTAATTTCAAAATCCCAAGTCGGCGCTTTTAAGAGCTGGGGCGGCGTTTAAAACTTGACGCCTTTATTGTACGACTGTAAAAAACTTCAGAAAACTAATAGGCTTTGGCGAATATATCACAACAGTATATACACAGGGGGCATCTAGTCCATTTATTGATACGTCTTATAGGCCAAGGCGTCTAATAGAGAGGAGGCCCAGTATTAAAGAGGGCCGTCTTATACAAACTCAAAAGTGCTTTAATATAATAGAGGGGGCGTTTATTAGACAAGAGGCGTTTATACGAGAGAGGAAGTCTATTTGATCATTTACGGTATTCAGTTTTAATTAATTTATGTGGAATACGAGCTCTGTTGCTTCATACCTCGTATATCCACATGTATGAATCTTTGCACTTTTTGAAAATCTTTTTACAAATTCCTCGCAATCTCAGTGATTTCAGGAAATTCTGGGCCACGGAATCACCATATATCCACAGTGTATCTGCCCCCGTAAAGGAATTCTCTACTGCTGCTATTGTGTTATCCTCTATAGAAAATAGTATAGTTGTACATGTAGTAATTAAAAATGTCCTGTATAGAACATACGCCATTTAAAAATTGTATGATTATCATGAGTAACTATTGTCCAGTGGAAGAGTACAAGCCATTTAAAGGTGCTAAATTTGAAAATTAAAAATCGTCCAGAAGAACACATACCAGTATAAGGCAACCACACTCCTTCGACCCATCTACCAAAACCGTTTTGTAGCAGGTTACAAGTGATTCCACAGGCTTTTTCTGTATTAATAGAAGAATTATGATCATCAATTGTTTTGAGATTTCCACATACCAATCTAACCATGTCATTGTTTGAAACAGATTAAATCATTGTTCTTCGCATCTTAGCAAAGAAATTAGGTTCATGATGAAATTACTAACTGTTCTTTTCACACAAATATATAAAAAAAAATTATACATGCTCTTATGGCGTCATTCTGGCCCGGCTTAGGGCCAACTTTTCAGCAGACGTAATCGAGTTTTGACTGATCTGTCTTTTTTAGGAAGACGCGACACAGTAAAGCCAAAACCGTTATGGTAGCTTATACATCAGTTTGCTTGCAAAAAAGGTTAGGGGTCTGAATTAGAGTCGTTCAGCTACGCCGTTCCAAAATGAAACAGTCTTCTTTACTGAATGGTTCGGTAGATTCATGGTATCATGCTCATGAAACATTCTTCCTCGATCCGGTTCCAATAACAAGGTAGACTTTTACCTGGTATTAACCCCTGTGTGTTATGCGAGGTTTCCGGGACAGAAAACGTAATTGCCGTCTTTCCTCCAATCGGTTCCAATATGTAGTCATCGCCAATGTATCCCAGGATTCCATCTGGTTGGTATTTTCCTTGAACTGTCCCTGTGTTTTGAGGTATTAAAAATATAACTGTTCTAGCTATTGCCTTATAAGGTAATAATTTTATTCCCTATTTTTTATGTTGAAGTGACACTGTCACGACTTCAAAGCTTTTCTGGACATTTAGATAACCTGAGCTAAAATCAAACTTATCTCCACACAAAATGCCAATGCGAAGCTCAGGCCGCATTTAGTAAATGAATTCCAGCAGGGAGAGAAAGCTAAGTTTTCAATTTCATGAGCTGCCTTAAATTCTGCTCGAATGCAATATTGGTTAAGAAAATTGTTTAAATTAGTTTCGAACCTTTTATGAACCAGTCCACAGGCGGCTCGCGAAGGCCGTCACAAAGAGTGAAATCCAGGGTGATCTGGGCGGAGTAATCACCAGGTTCCATAACCAAGAATACCACTTCATACATTCCGTTGTCATAGTCCCACACTTGTGGCGCAAGGGATGCTGGGCCTTGTCTGATGTACACTCGCCACGCATCGCCACCAAAATTTTTATGAACGCCATCTCTTGTAACAGACTGAATGAAGAAACGACTGAAGTGACCTAACAGGAAAAGAAAATCAGTCGAACCTCCATTTGCGATCGACTACCTCTCGTAAGCGACCACCTCCCATAAGCGACCGCCAATCCAAAACACCAAAACTTTCCCAGTCAAAGCCTTACAGTTGGAACCTCTAGTAAACGACCACGTCCTGTAAGCGACCGCGACCACCTTTTGGGACTCACGGTTTATGATTTTGCATGGTTTTTAACCTTTTGTAAAGCGACGACTTAAAGCATTCTCTCATCTCTATGTTCGTTATGTGCACTATGCTACTAAGACGATACGAAGAACTTTAGTGACAACATGAAACTACACATATTCCATCTTAAAGTAGATGTACCCCGAACTCTTCTTGGGAGAGGCCCCACGCAGTTCGATTCTTGTAAGCGACCACTCAGTCTTTGTATTTTGGGTGGTCTCTTACTGGAGGTTCGACTGTACTGTCAAGAAATATTCATTGTATAAACTGAATACAGCTCTAAGTTACTCTAACATTTTGGACTAAGGCAGCGCGGCCAAATGATCAGCGCGGAGGACTCACAATCCAGCGGTCCCGAGTTTGAGTCTCCTGACCACTAATTGGATTTGTTTCGGTCTTCCCGACGATTGTAAAATAGCCATCTGGCGCTGGCTGTTGCCTGTTGGGTTTCTTTATAGTGCTATATTAGATTTGCATTATTTGTTTCAAATTATCTGGGTAGAATGCCTGGAGGTAGGTGGTGCATCTAAGAGCACTTTAGCTATAAAAAGGCATTTACCATTACCATTTTAACATTGTCGCTTAAGTTCACAACTTGATGGAAAAAGAACTGGAAAGAAAAACTGCAAATCCTTTTCGTTTTTCCTTTTTGCATCTTGAACTTAGAAATCCCACAGAGGATTTAATAAATTTACACAAGAAAGCAAAACTCTGAAGGATTCTGGAAGAAGCAGTCACGTAGTGACGTCATCCTCATTCAAATGGTCTAATGAGCGCTTCTGACTTTTATTTCAAAATTTTGCTTGGGGGACTCTGAGTTTGTTTTATTCGTGCCTCGCAAATGCTTCAATGAGGGGCTTATAGAGAGAAGACGTGTGACGTCACAAAAATTCAAATTTGTGAATATGGGATTGGTTCAGTGCACATCCAGAAAGGATTTATATGGAGTCGTCGAAGCAAAACGGTGCTTTTAGCCCCCCGCCCCCACCCCCCCACCAATTTGCTCTAAAAGGCTGATTTGTGGCCAGGTGGTCTTTCTCTTTTTGTTCTTTCTGAATATGCCAGCCTATCCCATAATTTCAAAATTTAGTTTTTGTGACGTCATTACTTCCCTTCTCTATTCAATAGAGCTTGCCTTTCAATACTTACAAAAATGAAGGTTTAGGTATACTATATATAGGTATATAGGTTTTGTATACGTTATCTACCTGCAGGTTGTATCTCCCATTTCTTAATAAAACTGTTACGCGCATCAGTCCTCCATTCGGAGTTTTCTTTTCGCTCGTCCCAGGCTACTTTGCCAGCACACGGTTTAACCACTGTGTCCCAGTCTATCCGCCAACCTTGCATTCTACACCACTGTTGGTGAAAATTTCGTATGTCATGCTCATGATTTTCAAAAAAAGGTGTCTTGCACTCAACCAAGTTGTATAGTGTCCAAAAAATATAGAAGGTTGTTATAAAAATGCCAAGGAGGATGGCTTTTTTGACGGAACCTTGTTTGAAGATTTGAAGAACTCGACATCCCATTCCTAAAAGTCAAAGTTTAGAGAGTGAAAGCAGTGATTGTAAGTGGAAAGCGCAATTAGACAAAGAAAGGCCAATATGGCGCTACTGCAGCTCCTTCCAAGACAAGATGTAACACTGTCAAATTATTCAATAGACCTTGGCACGATTTTTTACGCCATCTTGACCAGTAGGTAAACGCGTGAGAAATTACAGTGTTTGTATGCTTATGGATCTTAAATAAAATACATTGTTGTTGTTGTTTGAGAATCTAATGTCGAATAATTTCCGTAGAACGGCTGTTCTGAAAAAAATATCAATTGTAAACGAAACTGCTTTACTCCGAAGGATTCTACTGAAAAAATTTGAGGGCGTTATATGCGCTAGAAGACCTAGAACCATTTTGTTAAATTTTCTATCCATTTGTCTTTAAGAAAGTGCCGGGAAAAATTACAGATAAATATATGGAAAATCTAAAGCAAGCCTCTGGAGAAGTTTAAGCACAGATACGCCCCCCAAAATATTTTAGTGCAATCCTTTGCTTTGTAGGTTTAATTTACAATTCACTGATATTTTTTTCAGAACAGCCGTTTTACGGAAATTATTCGAAATTAGATTCTCATACAAACACTGTAATTTGTCACACGTTTGCCTACTCGTCAAGATGGCGTCGAAAACCGTGACAAGGCCTATTATTCCCCATTTCGAAATTAAAAAAAAAATTGCTATGACAACGTTCGCTGTATTTTCTCAATGCCAAGATGGCGTCCAGTTTAAAGATGATACGAATGAAGACACAGGGGCACCCAATGGTAGTTGTCTGTAAACTATCTGTTCGAAGAAGCCTATACTAAATTGCCTACTGGTAGAAATTTCTATACACCTTGAGGAAGGAAGAATTTCTAGATAACCCTTCCATTCATGTACAATTTTCGAAGCTTATCTAATAAATTCCCTACGATTTCCTGAAGGTTAATTTTTTGCATTTCACTCCTCAGTTTAGCCATTTTTCGCACGAAAAGGAAACCTAAAATTTTCAGATTCGAAAATGCGATGGAAAGAGGAATCAGAAAAATTCTCATTTTCGCAAAACTTTAAATTGAATCTAAAAATTTTGGGAAAATAATTGCTGAAGCCCTGGTAATTTCGAAAAAACTAAAGTTGCCCTAGGATGACCGAACAGATACGAATTTTACAGCGCCGATTAGAATGTATTTCTAAAAAACTAAAAGTACTCTGGATAGCCTTAAAAGTGTTTTCAATGTATTTAGGAGGAAACCGTCGTTGGGTGCCCCTGAAGACACCCGGGCATTAAAAAACACTGTAGAAAAGCTGAACACACAAAACAGGACAACGTTTAATGGCAAGAAGGATTCCAAAGGGTTAACTCTGGATTGTAGGTGTAATTTGTCACCCATGATATCAATAGGAAATTAAATGGCTTACTCGTAAAATTAGAAAATAATTTCACTTCCGTTTTATCCAAAGTCTAATTATTTCCCTCCACCAAAGGCTCCAGAAATTATATATATTTCACAAAACACTCGTGACCATTTGATCACACAAGTGAATGAAACGTTGAGACTTCTCTGTCACGAGATTTTTAAATAATCAGTTTCAAGTCTCACAGCAAAAGGCCAAAGCCTACAATAACTGAACGAAAGACCAGGTCCATTTGTTCGAAAGATGTATAAATCTCTATCGAGTGCATGACGCAATTGGTTTTCCTAAGACCTATCCTTTGGATAGTAGTTTATCTGGTGGATAGCACTGTTCTGCGTTCGAACAACCGAGGCCAGATGTAATTTCCAAATTAGCATTCTGTTTTCTGACAACAACTACTTCAGCGTTCCCACCAAAGGAGGATCAATTTTAACCCCACAGATTTAGGATTCAGAGAAGGTGCTTACGATTCGACGAGAAGGCGGTTCTAGCTCTGTTATTTTAAGAATTCGGGTTTTAAAAGCCGAGAATCAAAATAGACTCACTACTCAGAAACGTGTCTAACCAGTCGGTGATATTAGCGAATCCTTGTTTATATGTTGTGATTCCTATTATCACTCATAGTTACATAGAAAAACCCTTGAAATTGAAAGTGATTTCTCATTATAAAAAGCTTTCATGGCTGAAAATTTGAGCCTGATGCACCAGATATACTCTTTATTTTTTTTTCAATTTCTCTTAGGTTTTCTTTGTATGGGTATTTCTTTGGCACAACAATGGTTTGTGATCGGTATACTCAAATTGCTACTATATCCTTCAACGAACGGTAACCCGGATGTACTTACGTATCCAGCTAATACTGTCACGGACGGGTAAGTTGAAGATACTTTACCATACAGAGCAGTTACGATGTCCAATTGTTTTCTAACGTAGTTCAGCGTGGAGCAGGCCTTAGTGCTCCATGAAGTCCGACTAATCTTAATTCAATACGAATTTAAAGCGTGTATGCTCTTAGCTAGTTTCTAAGAAACAAATTCTATCCAAAAGTGCATGTTGTTTAAATCTAAATGTATCTTCAAATAGAGATCACTTACTCTCCCAGAAATAAAGAAAAAAACTCTTTTATTAAACCACTTTGCAAATACCAAATGGAGAAAAACAAAGTAAAAATTAAAATAAAAAGGAAAATGCTTTCTTAAGAATAAAGACGTCTTGCTTCACCATACTGTTTACACAAGTAAAGCGTCTTGCTAAAAAAATGCTTGCCATGTCAGCCCATGTTGCTTAGTGACTCAAATAATAAAAAGATTCTTACAATGAAGTGCATCTCATTATGTTAGGCCAATACGAGTTCTTTTGTGGGATATCAGCTGTTAATAATTTGGACTGTTGTTTCAAAAATAGTGGTCCAATAAAACTTTTAAGCACTGAAGAAAACTCAACTATTTGCTTGAACAGTCATTCCAACGGTGTTTCAAGGAACAAAGCTCATTATGTCACATTATAGCGTCAGAATAAAGCTCACCTCGAATTCATCTCCGCAAATGCGTTGACGAACCTTTCTTTCATTTTATTTTATTAGATTGGCCAATTATTGGCAGGGTCACCGCAACAGCATGACGCCAATTACTGCGGGCCCGTCACAGTGCCTTCCCCCGTGAGAGACAGACCACCACACTGGGGACAACGTCTCCTACTCTTTACGAACAGTGTGTGGGTTCTTTAAGTAGAATAGACCCCTTTACCTTGTATGCTTTGCTTTCCCATTGTAGGTCATGTGGCGCTCTCAAGGTAATTCGCCTGCTATTTTTCATTTCCTTAATGTACTATCGTCTTGTGTCCTACATTGGGAAAACCAAACACACAAGCTACAGAGGTCTGTTCAACACAATAAACAAAGTTTTTGATAAACTTCAATAAGAAACGTACAAGCAGTACGCAGTAAATTCTCTTTTTAGGTGTCAGTCAAAAAATTCTAAATCACCATAGATATATTTACTTTAAATTACGTTTCGGATTAGGCGAGTTGGAAATTATTTTGTTTTACTTCTCCTCATCTAATATAAAACTTATAAAATAAGCTTGGCGCTAAAAAAGTAGAGATAAAATCAGGCACGACTCTTCCTATAACTGCTATGCAGGGTAGTCAATGGATTTTCCTTTCCCTTTCGAGTGGATTGCCACCGCAAGCTAAACTCGTCGTAAAAGGCTTCGGGCCTTGTGAACTTGGCCGCATTTAATGGAATACCTCGATCGCCATTTCTGGGAATAACTTATAAATTCTGTTGTCGATGTTTACATTTTATCAGTTACACTGAAGAAAGGAAGAAATGACCGAGAGTTTTCAAAAACAAAACAAAACAAAACGAAACAAATCAAAACAAAACAAAACAAAAAAAATATAAAAATAACTTGCCATCTCATACTAAAGTTGAAAACAATCTTTCTTGTAGGTTTGGTTGTAAACGTAAAAAGGTAGGAGCAGCGCAAACAATGTCCGCAATAAATGTGATATTTGATGTAACAAAAATAAAACAAGTAAAATCTGGTCTGTTAAAGAGTTAAATAATTCATTTAAATGAAACACCTTGAACTTAAATATTCACCTGGAATTAAAGCTATTAAATGGATCTCACTAACGGTTCAGCTCAGATCTGCTTTGAAATAGTTTGCCCATCACAGCCACTGAGATATGCTCGTAAATTAAATCTGGGCACGGGATAAGATTTCGTCATAGGAAAGAAAACACCGTTTTGTAATGTTCATTGGACAACTATCAGCAACTTGCGAACATTAATAGTGAAAGTTTCCTTCGACTGGAATTCCCATGAACAGGACTCTTCTAAGAATTCTTCTTCTTTGCCTGGGGGGATACCATGCAATTTGAGGGTCATTTCCCGTGCTCTATCTGGTAGGCACATAGTCACATGATCACCAATAAGGTAAACGTGTCTCGATGTTGGTTCCCAATCTGCAGTAAAAGTAGCGACATTTTCTCCCTTGTTCAGATCCCAAGCGTAGAAGTTATTGCGATGGAACGTAATCGCAAGTTTGTTGTTTGGGATGAGAATTTTGTGAGCGGGCTGGCTTCTCGCTCTGTGACGAATCTGCCCTGTGGAAACACCAACTACAACCAACGTTCCGTCTTTTTGTGATGAAACGGCTACCGACGAATCTTTAGAGGAAGCCGACGCAAAGACACCTTACACGACTGGCAGAGTAGTGTGTAAAGGCCTTGATATGGTTCTCAAATCCCAAATCAATGTAGTGTCGTCAACAGTGAAGCAAAAAAGGCGATGGCCTTCATTGTCGAGATTGGAGGCCTGAAGCGTGAGCTGCCTGCCTTTAACCTTTAACAGATAGTATTCGTCGGATGCAGAGTCAAGCACGATAAGCGGTAATGATCTGTTCGGTTTCTTCACTCTTTGCACCAACGAGCAAATGAAAGTGTGGCCATTTTTGCTCAGAATTACATCCGCAAGTCAAAACTTCTTGTCAAATCCACGCTTTTGGACAAGCTTCCCTGTGGAAACATCCCAAGTCTCCAGTTTTCGGTGAGCCCTTGAGAAGGTGAGAAAGCGTGTTTCCTTCAAAAAACCTACCGCCTTCCCCTCCATCCACTGTGACACCATTCCTTTCTTTAGGTCGAAAAATCCGAAAAAAAACTCTTTGCGTTCTACAATATAAACCTTTGGAAATGTTGTAGTATTCAGCATTCTTATCTCATTCACGCCAATAGCTGAGAACCGCAAACGCCGAACAACATTTGAAGAAGTTACACCTTAGACTGACAAAGTCTGCCCTTCTGGACCCACTGTCGTCGTAACGATGTGGCGACCATCCACACCTGGGTAAACACCACTGATTTTCTCTTTCCCTAAACAGTCGGGTCTTGTTGAAATCTGCATTTGCTCCGGGTAGTATTTGTAAATGCGTAGGATTTTGTCTAAACAAACTGTTATGACATAGTTTGCACCTCCTGTAAAAGTGTTTGCACAGTTGACACGATTTCCGAGAAAAGGACGTTTTGGTGTTCTTTGAATTTCGCTCGTTTGAAGATTTGTGACAGGGATCTCCAAGTCATTGTAACTGATGGCTTTGGTTCCGTCTTGAGTAAGCTGAAGACGTTTCAGCCCAAAATATGTTTCGTAGCCAGGAATTTTCTTTATAAAAGACCTAGTGTATAAATCGAAAAGATAGAGGCCTTTCGCTAAGCTGGAAGTAAAACGATTTGATTAAACGGAGTTATTCTTAGTTCTTTAACTTTCTCGCCAACTTCAACAACGGCTGTTTCTTCTCCGGTCGAAGCATCGAAGACATGAAATCCTAGCCCGTGGAGACTGTAAACCACGATGTTTCCCTTGGCATTCTTAGTTCTTAGAGTTTCACTGTCAAGTTGTTCAAAAGAGAAAGAGTTTAGTAGCCGACCGTCAGAGGCGCCCTAGATCTTCAATGCCGTATCGGTTAGAGCTACGATTACTTCTTCTTCCTTCGCAAATGCAAAGGGATAATAAATTGTACAAAGCATCACTCAGTGCATGGAAAGTTTGAAGAACTTGCCTCGGTTGAAAGTCTACGAGAAGCACCGTCTTGAGCCGGCTAGCAGGAGCTTGTTCCTTTGTTTCACACTTGATCTCAGCGACCACTTGAACGTTGTTTCATTCTGCCAAGAAAAGACTACTCGGCGGATCAACTTACCAGTTCGGATTTCAACTAATTTTATTGCCACTCCATCTTTGTTTGAGTGACAGACGAAGACTGTTTTCCCGTCACAACTAAATTCGCAGACTGCATTCTGATCGCCTACTTAAGTGGAAGATAATAACGAGCCCTCAGAAGGAGACAGGCATTGATAACTTGGGATAAAACAAGAAACACTGGAATCGAGGCATCTTTTACAATCTTGCTAATGCATGGACTTCGCCCACTGTTTATCAAACATTGTAATCTTCCAATGACTTGTTACGCAAACTGTCGTGGGTCTTTCCTTAAGGCCATCGACGAAAGCCTCAAGAATTTCTCGACAATCATAATATCATCGTCATCGCCCCAAACATTCCGCGCATCAAAATCTTCCAATACGACTTTAATATAGGTTGCTTTTAGTTTCGTTAGCAAAAATTCGAAGTTGCATAATGTTTCTCCCTTGAGCTCATCCAGCTATGCAGAGCAAAACAAATGATGTGGCAGTCCAGTCAATTTTCGATAGTTGAAAATTGCTTGTTCTTGGTTTATTTGAAAACTTAGAGGCTGTTTTGCGACAAGACTATCCATGTGAATTCTTTCGCCGTTTTTATTAACGAAAGGTTTCTTATTTCCGTCAGCCCAATTTCCAAGAAAATAGTCGCTCATGTTGCAGGGAATAAATTGCTCCTGTTCACCTCGAACATAACGATCTTTTGCCCCCTAAATATAAGCAGCACATTAAAGAGTGAAAAACTGCGATAATACTCAGCGGAATTCCATATATTCTAAAACGGTCTGAAGAGAAGTTTTCTTTAAACATTAAAGAATAATTATAAATATAAATGACTGCGAAAAAAGTTTGCACGGCGTTTCAGTGTAGCCATGACATCATCCTTAATTGGCAAAATAAACCAAAATTATCTGGACTAGTATACAGTTTGAAGTGATTAAAAAAAACGAAGGTAACATATTTTCACATGTAAAGGGAAAGTATATAAAGAAAAAACAGTCGGAATGAGTTCGATTGTGTATTCAAACTTGGCTTCTTAATTTATGAGATCCTTTTCATAACGAGGAAGCCCCGTCTAAAGACCCCCGAACAAGTCTATTTCTTTAATGCACCTCCCATTTACACGTGCAAATACATAACCTTTTGTTTTATTTTACCCTTTTACCCCTATATTTTTTCACTTGGCAATGACGTAATGGTGACATCAAAACATTCTGCTAAACTTTTCTCGCTCGTTTTTATTCTCAATTAATAACAAAAAACGTGTTTGAAATGCGTCGCTTTTTAAGATGGGGTACATAATGGAGGTACATTGGTCTGCCAGCTGCGCGATGCACTAGCCTATTAAATAGCTTTCAAATTGTGATTATAATTACACTTTTTCCGGCTTGAGTGTATAGCTACTTGGAGAAAGAGATGTATTGTTATTTCAAGTTGTATGACACTCTAGGATAAATTTCGTTCCATGTCTGTTTGTATTTATCTGAAATGACTATCCTCTTCCCCGAAAAGTCAAGTTGTCGTCCCATTGCGATTAGACGTCCGCCGTTTTGCCTTTTTTTCGACACACACGCTGCTCAAAACTTTTTTTTTTTTTTTTTGGACTTTGCCACAGGCAACCCAATAAAAAAATCGTACTACTCACAACCGCACACGCATTATACCTCGATGAATTGCCTGTGATACCAGTACAAGACAGGTACACCATTAGCTCCCCGCTGAATTAGATAATCCCCAATATCAGCATGGATTCTGAACCAAAGGGAAGGCAACATTCTCATTATGGGCGGCGTCCAAAACTGATACACATCATTCAAGACAATGTCATCCAATGAGAGAAGATCCTCCAACTCCGGCTCTGTTAAGCCACTCTTGGATGCTGAGATATAGCCAAGGGCGTGACTAACAAGAATTTTACCTGGAAATAAATGTAGAAAAGGAGTTTCACTATTTCCGTTTTTGTCGCACACAAAGCTCCTGTGCACACCTCTTCTTGTTGCTGGTAAAATATTCTTCCCCAAATTAAACAAAGGGAAGAAAAATTTGTCGTTTTATAGTCGCTAATTTGCAGTCCAAGGTCTTACTAAGAGGGTCTGGATGGGGGGGTACAAATGTAAGTTGTCAGTTAAAATTTTGGCCATTTGTCAGTTGTCAGTTAAATTTAAGGCCATTTGTTAGTTGTCAATTAATTGGCTGTTAATAATTAATTAAGTAATTTAGTTATTTCTTTTTCATCCAAAATTTAGCTCAAAAGGCACATTAAATGTAAATTGTATCACTAATTCGAAAATTGCTACACTAATAACCTTTTATTTTCAAATTTGGAGTTGAATTCATTACAAGCGGCTTTCTATCGTTACTCTCCTGCTTGCCCGAGCATAACATTCCTCTCTAACCCTTAGACCCTTAGCTCATCAAAATTCACCTTCAAAATATTTGAAGTATATCGTGAGAAAGACAAACAAATATCGGAAGAGTTCTTTCTTTTTTTGTTCGTTTGATTTGATTGGGTATTGTTTGTCAATGGCTCAATTGTGATTGGCTGGGGTGAAGTGATCAGGGAACATTGCACTGGCCCAAACAGGCGCGTTGGGAAAAGTAACAAACAAAATATGTTTTCTCCTGTGAAACATGAAACATATCTACTATAAGCATACCTTACAAATCAAGTCGAAAATGGGCACGTATTGGCCGCCCAGACCTTGAAATGGTAACAGGCGCAATATCTTCTCCCTATCAGAAAAGTCATCTCCTGAGTCGGGTTCATATTCATCTGGCGGGGGTCGCGCTTCAGCAACTGCCACTGCAACTAGACAGTCGTCCACAAATGTGACTTGTGGCGCATCTCCACCTTCAGATGTAGCATATATGAACGAATAGGTCTTCTTCTTTTTCTTCTTCATCCACGGTAAAATCTATTGGTTCCTCAGTGTTAAGATCGTTCCCTAGTCCCTCCATCAAGTCCACTCTATCACAATCTTGTTCCTTCGAGTAGACTGCTGGTGGTAAAGCCCCATCTTTGTCCTTTGTAGTTTTCCCCGGACTGTCCTTTGCCTCACGGGACGATATTTCTCTACCAATTCTTTCATAGCAGTTTCCGTCTCGGGACTGATTTCTTCTGACAGCAGCGGTTACAGGGTAGTACGACTTAACGTGGGTAAAATACTTGCCCCCTCCTCCCCCTCTCCCCCGCGAGAGCGCGCGCGGAGGGCGACAGTGGCGGCGAAGCGGCCAGCCCCTTACGTTCGCGCTCCTTCAAATCCTCCGCGGTTTCTATTTTGTTTGTGATCTCGACGAACTCTAGACAAAATAGAGGGTCTGTGGACAGACTAGCAGGAAATAAGCCCAGTGACTTGCTCGGCATACAATCATTAGTGAATTAGTATTTCATTTGCAGGGGTGAAGTGTTTGGTTTCTATAATGTTTTGTTTTTAGCTGATGTACTGCGTGTTTTAATGTATGAATTTACATACGATCAACCGACACCACTAAAATCTGACGTGTAACGATCCCTCCAGGAAAGGTGTTGAGAAGCCAGCACACGCGTTGGTTCGCGCCGCTGCCGCAAAGCTACAAAATGTAGTCATACCTTAGGCCACCGTAATTATAACATAGTGCATTACGTGAAAACAAGAGCGAAAATATTCTGAAAGCGTAGCAGTACCCAGAAGATTTTCCGGACTAACTTGCCTGCTTATATTTACACCACTACTCGAAACAAATACACAAGCACTAAGAATACATACTGTTCATTTCGCTTCCTGAGTCATCCAGCACACTTGGAAGCTCCAGCGGCCACTGGTCGTCCGTTTTGATGGCGAAGTTATCACTTTTCCCGTCCGGTTTCGGTGCCATCCGATAACGCTTTATATCGAAATCTCCAAGGCCGTATTTAATTGTTAGTTCCTTCAGACCAAGGAATTGAATAAGGTGCTTTTTGAGAGCATGTACTGTATTTAAGTCATTCATCGGAATACGGCTTCTATGTCTTTCGAATGCCGTATCCGAATTAACGCGGTAAAAGCTTACAATCGCTTTAATAACGCCGGCATTGGCAGCAATCATGTAAGCTGGCTCGTGCTCGGGACTGCTCAGCGTGAGTTTGTAAGTTCGAGATCAGAGGTGAAAATTATCACCCTGATGTACATGGGTCAAACAGTAAATTATTAACGAAATATGACACTCAAGCGTGCTGCTGCTAAGATTTAATATAAAACGTGCATTTGTTTGACGAAAAGAGTAAAACATTGTTATTTAAATTTGGTTTTGAAGGATATTTAGGGCAATAAGATCTTTTGTCAGTTGTCAGTAAAACCCTCTACAAATGTCAGTTGTCAGTTAAATTTTAGCTTATTTGTCAGTTGTCAGTTAAAATTTTGGCCATTTGTCAGTTGTCAGTTAACCCCATTCAGACCCTCTACTAATTATTTAGAGCGGTTTCTACGTCATCATTGCTTTTTTGTTTTAAGAATGGGGTAATTGGCAGAAATTGCCATTTCTCCAACCTTGAGGGATTCTTTTCTAGGGTCTCTTCTCGTGACTTCTGCCGGCATGGATGGATCTATCAAGGAATGGCATCAAAGCTGATAGGATCATAGGGAAACTCCAGATTCACCACCACAGGTGAAAATCCCCGGGGTGGATTTTATAATGACCACTGCTATTCTTTTAATTAAATCTAGGCGTTTACTTCTTAAAGCAGCGAAGTTTGAAAGAGCAATAACAACAAAACGAAATAATAAACTTCTTTTTATAAAATAGCAACAATAATAGCACTTACAAATGTGCTAATCAATGATCTCCGTGCATGATTACACTTGTTTATTATCTGGTCTAAGCTCCACTAGCGGACGATACAGTGAATCCTGTGTTCTGATTGGCTAACCGAGCTGGCGAGATGGGATTTTCCGCTTTGTTTCCTCTCGTAAAAAATTTTTCTTTAGCATTACAATAAATCATTTCTTGACCAAGCTGTTTTGGTCAAGATGGCTGGATAATAGCCTTGTTTAGTCATTATCGACCTCGACATTGTTTCGGTCTGTTAGCAAAAAAGAGTTCTAGTCAGTATTGCAAAGTAACTTTTATTTCAAATGCATCCCACTCTGGGTTTCATTTGCAGACTCAAAAAATATGACCCTAACTAAACATGTAATAACCGTAGGTTAACCTGTGAGAGCATAACAGTTAAATAGCTTTACCATGCAGTTGTTCTAGACGATCAAACTAGGCACTGATGATCAGTTTCACTGTGGTCTCCACGCGTGTCTCGTTGCCACACAAAAACTAAAGGTTGGTTGGGATAGGTGATAAAAGAAACAACTTGAGATTTCATTGAAATCTCTTCAAGTGGATGGTTGCTATATATAGAGAGACACTAATAAAGCATTACAATTAATTAAATCACTACATTTATTATGGAATTCAGTTATAACTCAGACCGTTGGCAAACCTGTGTCAAATTTCACGAATTTAAAGAGAAGATCTTAGCGTAGAAAATTTATATTTTCTGGGGTTCGTTTGTCACGCATTCATTTCTCCCCGAAATGAATGCGTGACAAACGAAACCCAAAGGACGTCTGCGGGGAGGCTATTTTAACATATCATTGTGTGGATGTTATTTAAAGCTTACCTTAAATTGTCGAGTGTTGTCGTGTCTATCAGCTACTCTGGCTGCGGTCACAAAAGTCACTAAAGTTTAAGTTAAGTTAGCGTTAATTTACGTGATGTCACCCCTAACTGTAGTTAGTGCTTTCGGTCAACATTACGGTCGCACCATGCAGTTAACAACAGTTAGTTCGTTCAGCCTATGTACTAAATTTTTTAATTGTTTGTTGTTTTTGGTTTCCCCCTCGCTTCACGCTTGGTTATTTTGCATATTTATATATGCTCATCTCGCACGTGCGAAAAGATGCGTTACATTCTGATTGGTTGTTTCTTTGTAAACTTAACACCAACCAAAGGGGGGAATTTCATATATGCCATGATGCATCGCTTCGTACTATATTATCAAGCTTCCGAACGCACGTGATGCTATCAGTTCAACAGGGACAGCAGTCAACAGTTGAACAGCAGTGGAAAGCGACTTATTCTGCCGATAAAACTTTCTGTACCTTTGCTGTGTCGATCTATTTACGATTTTCATTTTACTATTCCAAATATATCTCTTGTTAAGTCTAAGAGAGTGTTTTGCCCGCCGATTATGAGTTAACTAGACTTAACGATAGCAACGCAGTCCACACAAACGTTCTTAGAAGCTAGCGAGGAAGGTCTTTGCTTCAGGAAGGTCCTTCAGTACATCCTGTTTTAACGTGCGTTGACAAAGCTCCCCATGAATTAACAGGCGATTTCCACGACTTGTTTTGAAATAAATACATATTCTAGGTGTGAGATTTCTCTTCATTGCCTGTTTGTGATCGGGGTGTTCAAAGTTGTCAGTTCAATAATTCATCGATGCAGTACATCAACCGTACAGTGACTGCACACGCTTTTACTTCAACAAGCTCGGCTTATGTAGTCGAAAATACCGAGACCGTTAAAGTGCAAAGTGACGTCAATCGGAGATAAAATTCAAAGGAGGGAAATAGCCTCAACAAACAATAAAAATAACAAAGACATCTCCATATTTTTCGTAACACAACACGAGCTAAGCATCATTGCCAAACACACTGTAAACAGAAAAAAGCTTTATTAAGAAATGGCACAATACATATACAAAAACACCCACTTCTTCACTACAATGGATCCTAAAAGAATGATCAAAATGTCTTAAAAGGTTTTATACGCCGGTTGAGGTCCTACGGCGTGCTATTCCATGACATTTGCTGCCCTGTATACAAGTTCAAGTTCAAGTTCTCCACGCGCGGTTGCGACCGGAAGCCACCATGAGAAACCAATTTACCTAAAATAATGAGACAAAAAAGCTTCAATAACTATAAACCATTGAATTTAAACATTCATCATACCCTCAAGAGATAATTTTTGTGTTTTGATCAATGAAAAAAGAGCGAATTCAAGAAAAAAAAGTCCCATCTTCGCAGGACTTAGCATAAAGAAATTGAAACCTTGGTCTTGCACCTTAGTGGAGAAAGGGCATAAAATGCGATATTTCAAAACGATCAAACCCATAAAGATCCCGAGGTCGAAAGAGGTCGGAGCGTGGAACTAGTATCAAGCACCCCTTGTCCGCCGATTTAAATAATTTATTAGGGCAAAACCTTGCTAGAATAAAGACAGTTTTCGATAATTGAAAGTCATCTAAATAAATATTCACTTGCGAGTTAAAACAGCATGGCTTAACGGGGTCGTAAACGAGAGCAATAATACGTGAAATGAAAATGGGACCATTTTACATTATTAATAAGATACCAAAGATTAACAGGGCTCATTAAAACTTACCTTGGATGAGCTGCATCTTGAAATTCAGGTCGTTGAAAATCTCCCTCGGAACCCTCGAACGCTCTTTCCACCGCGGCGAGAAGACACAAATTTGCCGCGAAGCATCATGGGATATATGAAATTGCCCCCTTTTGACTAACCCACTAACGCTGCTTGGGTATAACTATAGTATAACAACCAAAATAACACAGCCAGTCTAAAGCTTCGAATTCACAAAACATATCAGATAAAATTAGTTCACGTTACATATTATTTTATATATTCAAAAATTTGTTGATGAAGATGCCTCAGACGGCAGCCTTGGCGATCGGTTTGATCCCAGCAGTCACAATTTCCGTTCGAGCGTTAATACCCAAGTGTCGCTCGAAAATGTCACGCAATGCGTTTAAAACAATAACAACATCACAATGTAACATCGACCAAGGCGGAGGTTTAGTAGTCTTCTTCGCAGCCGCTCGATGCGATCGGGCTGGAGTCACGCAAGCACCCCGCCCCCACGCATAGACGTGTGTGTCTTAGTACCACAGGTGTGGAATGTATATCTACTTTCTCACAGGAGAGTCGGCGTCGCCTTACAGGCGACTGTTGAGACGTTGTGTGACCCAACAACCCCCCAACAACCCCCGCCCCTTGTATAAGAAATAAAATACTGAGGTCTGCAAACGTTAAATATCATTATATTTTATCTTTTTTATGTATTCCTGTGTTTTGGGGAGTGAATTCACCGATTTAGTCG